AGGGGCCTGGCCAGCGATGGCTGATCTGAGTTTGCGTAGCTACACTGGGAGAGAGTGGACTCAGACAGTGAGGAGGGTCCGTGGACAGAGGAAGCCAGGAGAAGGCCAGGGTGCGTGAGGGGCTGTCACTTGGTTTAGGAGGACACGGCTGCAAAGGCCTTGAAAAGCAGGGCCTGAAGGGCAATATGGCCAACACTTCCAGGAGTGGTTTGGAGGGATCCTGGAAGGAAGAGGGGGATTAAAAATGAAATCCGAACTCTTAAGAAATGTCACCCAAGTGAGCAGCACAGGAGTCTAGGGAGTGGCTTTCAGGTGCCGCAGGAGGAAGTAGCAACAGGCCTCCCGCGCCCCCACATACACATACACAGGCCTCACTTGGCCGACTTCGAGGTTTTCTGACCTGAACCACACAGGAAGCTCAGGACATGGAGAGGAAACGGCCTGCTGAAGGCCACACAGTTAAGGTCAAAGCAGGAGAGAAGCCCCATCTCCTAGGCCCCTCAAAAGCCCAAAACCAAACTTGTTGCCGTCAAGTTGATTCTAGCTCATGGCAACCCCGTGTGTTACAGAATAGAACTGCACCGCCCTCCCCCATGCGTGCTTATTTATCTGTGTGTTCATTCAGTGTGTAATTTTTGTTTAGTTGTTGCATGTCCATGGCTCCTTGCCCTCCTGTAGCTCAGCTATTCCGGTCCCTTCCCAGGGCAACCATTTCTTAGGGATCTCCGCCATAGAGGTAATCTGTGCATGAACAAGCATTTATGTATGTGTTATATATACATATATTTTTTCAAAGATGACGGGATGCTATGCATACTGTCCCGCACCGTGTTTTTATCACATAGCCCTTTGTCTTGGGGATTTTCCTCATTCACACATTGAAGGGCCCCTGGACTTTCACTGAATGGGTGAGCTGCTAATGGCCCAGTCCTATCCCAATTTATCGTATGGACAAGGTTGCGTGAACGTATCCTTTTACATGAATGAAGTAAATCTGCAGAATATTCCTGAAAGCGGGTGTGTTTATAACTTTGACAAAATTGCCAAATCACCCTCCATGAGCTTGTACCAGTCTCCAATCATGTGGCCGCAGGGCAGTGCCCGTGGCCCTCACGGCTGGGCTCTTTGTGTCTTGGGGAGGAGGGACAGTGAGGGGGTTTCTGCTCCATCCAGCTCAGCTGCCCCGCCAATCTTCAGGTCTTCCCTAAGGTTTGGGTGTGAGGGGTGTTGGAGAAGCCAAGAGGAACCATGTGTGCTCCTGACCAAATTGAGGTCCGGCCCAGGTAGGCAGGAAGGCCCTGCCCCTCCCCCAGCCGTGGGGGCTGTGGCAGGAAGAGGCGCCTCTGCAATCCAAATAGCGATTTCCTGCTGCAGGCTCTGGACTGTTTTCTTTAGGACAGTGGCTGAAACCTGAGAGGCTGAGTAGGGTGGGGAAGGATTCAGCCAGCAACACACACACACTGTACATACTTCACATACACACACACTTCACGTACTCACACATACACTTATACACATTTCACACGCTTATACACCCTCATATATATTACACACACACTCTTTCACACACACACTCCTCAGTGCCCACACTTACTCCAAACACACACACAGACTCTCCCTATAGTCACATACTTACATATGTTTCACAGTTAAACACTTACATCTCACACATTCACACCGTCACACTCACTCTTACACGTTGTTGTTGGTAGCTGCCATCCAGTCCATGTCTGTCGGAGTAGAACGGTGCTCCAGAGTTTTCAGTGGAAGTAGATCACCAGGTCTTTCTTCCAAGGCACCTCTAGATGGGTTTGAACCACCAGTGTTTGAGCTAGTAGTCGAGCACTTCACAGTTCACATCACTTGGGGACTCCGTACACACACACATTTCACAAATCGTAGCCCCTGCCGGACTGTCAGCCTAGGCTGTGCAGAAGCGGCTGGTGTCCACTTTCCCCACTCCCGTCCCATACCCTCCCTGCCTTCCCCACCTCCTGGTTTCTGCCCAGGAGGCCCTCATCCCTGCTGGGAAGCAAGTGACATTACATGTCTTGAGGTCACCTCCCCCACTAACCAGATATCCTCCTGGGGCAAGTCCCAGTTCTGGCCCCTCCTCCTCTCCTCCATGGCTGGTCCAACGAGCTGGCCTGGGTCATGTGTCAGTCTAGCTCTGGCTTTGCTGTGGGCCCCAGGGAAGAGGCCTTACCCCTTTCTGGGCCTCAGTTTCCTTATCCGTACAATGGGGAGGCAATGAGACTGTGGAAATTCAATGGCCAGCCTCTCTGGTTTTCTTTCTTCTTTAAAGCAGCCAACAGGCCCACTTTTGCCCAGGAGAGTTTTTGAGGGACCAGCCTCATTCCCTGGTTGTCTAGCCCAAGACGGGCATCCCCATGTTTATGAGAAGACAGGACGATGAGGCACTCTGGACCCAGACACTTGGATGGTAACCATGGCCTCATAGTATCCCCAGCTAAATTCACATCAGATAGGGAGCCATCACCTCAGCCCCAGCCTAAGGGTGGGGGTGGGAAAGAGAACACTGTTCTCACATTGGAGTGGAGTCTGTCAGTGAACAGATGTTCACTGAGCACCTACTATAAGCTAGGCTCTTGAGATTATCATGAAGAACAAGATAAAGAGTTCCTGGTTGGAGACATCTGTCTCCCATTCCCCCACTAGGGCTCCTGTGACACATGCCTTCTAGGATACACGGGCAGTTTGGGCTCCTAGGGTCTGCGGTATCCCCTTGTGTCAGACCCCAGTAAGGATGTGGCTCAGACCCTGATCCTGGAGTCAGGCTGTTCTGACTTTGTATTCAGGCATTGTTCCTTCCCAACCAGGGGAGCCTGGGCATATTTCCTAACCTATCTGAGCCTCAGTTTCCTCATCAAGAAAATGCAGGTAATAACGCCTATGCTGCCGTACTGCTGTGAGGACTGCGTAAGACTCGATTTAAAAACAACCTAGCCTGGTGCCTCTGAACCTCTGTGTAAAAATGGCATCGCAGAGGCATCTGACCTCTTCTACCTTCATGAGGGGGAAGGAGAATCAAGATCAACAGGCCAAGGCTGATTCCTATGAGAGAGAGGTCAAACATGCCTCCTCTCTCCACCATCTTCCCAGTTCTGACACCAACTGTCCCTCCCATGGCAC